GGGACTCGATCCCGGGACTCCAGGATCATGACCTGAGCCGAAGGCAGTCGCCCAACCAACTGAGCCACCCAGGCGCCCATAAATGTATTAGTTTACTACCTCTCATGCCGTGGGGTAGTCACCTCCAATCCGCGGCCAGCATGATGCCGTCTTCCCCACAGCCACCTCCCAGCCAAGGGACAGGGGAGGGTGGCGTCTCCTCTCACCGATGCCGGACAATCCACGGGAGGAGCACTTGCTCTTCGTCCGCACAATGGGATCATTGGACTTTGGAAGTCCTAGTGCCCAAGGAAAGGACTGCCCCCCCACCCCAAGGGAAAGCAGCCTTGGTCCTGTTGAAATATGAAGATACCACTTGACTCCTACCTGATTTGGGCTCCTCAAAATCACCACTAGGTAGGGGGTAGAGGTAACTGTGCTTTGGAGGTGATTGATCGATGCTGATTAAGAAGGGAAATGGGCTGCTTCGCAATGGGGAGGGGAGAGGACAGAGCCTGCAGCCCGTGAGACCATGAGGGTCGGCAAATCACGGTGACCCAGTGAAGATAGGACCACAAAGGACTGGGATTGTCCACCGTGAAAGAAGTCTGAGAGGCCAAAGCATTTAGGAGAGCGGAGAAGGTTACTTGCAAAGTAGCCGCGAGGCAATCAGCCTTTGGGAGGACAGGCTTACGGAACAAAACCACAGGAGGTGTTCAAAGGAAAGCTCTGCACTGTGATTGCTGTGAACAGTTTTTTATCGGTCTGCTCCTGATGGCAAAACACACAATTATCACAGGCACAAAAGGTCGTGACTTATCTTTAGGCATGGGCATTGCAAAATTCAGGGATAAAGCTGTTTTTTTCCTAAGGAGTCAGCAATTTACGGGAAATGCTCTAAGTTTACTTTATTTTGGGGACTGGGAGAACTAGTGTGTATGTGTGTGTGTGTGTCCATGTCCGGGCATATCTGTCACCCGGATATCATCATAGCTCCTCATCAGGACTCTCGGTTTCCACCCTCCTCTCTTTTATTCCCTCCTCTGCCCCAACCCCTCCACAGTCTGCTCTTCTAACTCGGAGTAAAAACAAATCCTTAACTATAGTCTGAGGGCCCTAAAGAATTGGTGCTCCACGTTTTCCCTCTGTGACTCATCTACTCCTCGCCTCTCTAGCTCACTTCTCTGTAAAATCTCTGGCATCTCTGGCAAATGGATGATTCTTGTACACACTAGACATTCTTCCACCCCAGGGCCTTTGCACTTGCTGTGCCTTCGTCTGGAACCCTCTTCCTCCTGGAGCTCCTTGTGACTTTTGCCCAGACATTACTTTCCCAGTAAGGCCGATCCCGACACCCTACTCTTGATGGCCTTATTAAAAACGGACCCTACCTCACTTCCCGGCTGTATTTTCTTCCATATGTCACCAGGTGACATTATATAGATTTCACTCATTTATTTAATCTGTCACCTGCCAAGATGTAAATTCCGTGAGGGTCTGGCCTTTTTTTGTCAGTTTGTTTGCTTCTGAAGTGTGCGTCTTCCGGAGGAGAGTGCCTGGCATGTTGTAGACCCTCGGGAGGTACCTTCTGAATGGATGAGTAAATGAGTGAGCAGAGGGAATGTTCTCTGTGGGAAAGATCCAACAACGCACAGATGGCAAGTATGCCCCGATTACCACGTGAGTACAATGCAACACTGTTGCGGACACAGACGTCAGCTCCCTAGATCTCCCCGTCCCCCCCTCTACCTCTTTCTGGGAAGGACTTGGGGCCCAGCTGTGGGGAGTGTGACCTGTGCAGACAGCCACCCCCCCCGAGGTCATGGCCCTGCGGGGCTGGCCGGCCCGCGGTGCCTGAGCGAGGTGGGGTTATGAAGGCCCCAGCTCAGCCCGGTGCCGACAGCTCGGACAGACAGCTCGGACAGACAGAACTTGATTGCCCAGAGCGCCTGGTGGGTTGGCTGCAGCTTTGTGGGGCCTGCGCAGCTGTGTGCCTTCTCCCATTGCCCCCTCCTCCTCCTTCCCCATTCCTCTCTCAGGTGTCGGTCCCTAAAACATAGCTTGCACCCCAACTTCAGTCTCAGCGTTGGCTTCCAAAAACCCAACCTGGGACAAATAACACGATCCGAATACCAAATAATAAAAAGCAAGTAGGGGCGCCTGGGTGGCTCAGTCGGTGAAGCGTCTGACTTTGGCTCAGGTCATGATCTCAGGGTCCTGGGATCGAGTCCTGCATCGGGCTCCCTGCTCTGCAGGGAGTCGGCTTCTTCCTCTCCCACTGCCCCTCCCCCCTGCTCTTTCTCTCTCAAATAAATAAATAAAATCTTAAAAAAAGGCAAGTAGAACATAATCCCATTTATATAGAAAATATAATCTAAGATGCATTTGCTTTCCTTCTCTACCTTTGGAGACACTTAAGTTCCTTCCTGTGAAGAAGATTGTGTGTGTGAATTGTGGGCAGCCCCCTAAATGAGATTTGCAGGTTATGGGAATCGGTGGATTCCCTTTCTTGCAGAAGGTTCTCGTACAGAGCTCCCAGGCCAGGGTGTCAGGGGGTGCTGGGCTTGAATTCTGGCCCTTGAGCTCAGCAGGCCCGAGAACTTGGGCAGCCCACACCCCAGTTCCGAGCCTCAGCCCACCATCCAAAGTGCCTCCCAGGCTTCTCGTGGGAACCGAACGGTTAATGCCTGGTATGGGTCTGGCCCCATCCCTGTTACAGGTTTGATTTTTCATCAGTTTTTCCTCTCCTGGCTCCTCCCTCCCTTTCCCACCCAGGAAACCCTACTCTGCCCTCTCCTCTTCCCTCCTGCTCTGACCATGGTGGCCAAGGCCCCCCGGGGAAGCTCATGAGCCAGGACTCAGTGGGATTGAGCAAGAGCAGAGAAATGGGCTCCTCTGGACCCAGCTGTGCAGTGCTGGGGACACAGTTCTGGGAACTTCAGACGCAGGAAGTGAAAGGGGGTGTGGGCAGAGGCGATAGGCAAACTGCACCTCTGGTCCCTTCTGGCCTGGCTCCCTTCTCCAGAATGGTAAAAATGAGGAAGTCAGGGGGGCTCCAGACGAGCGGAAAGGGAGTAGATACACCCCAGAGGAGGAGAGCAGAGCTGCCCCGTACCCACCCCCCACCGCACGCAATCTCTGCCTGAGTCCCCGCTCCAATCCCTTCTGCACTTCACCGCCTGAAGACGGGGACACGTGAGATCCCAGCTGACAGCCTGCTGGGTTCTGGTCACAGGTGACTCCTCCCTCACTGTCCCCACCTCCGCTCTCCAGGATTTCGTGTTTTTCCAGTTTTGGTCATTACTGCACAAGGAACCCCAAAATTGCAACCTTCGGACATTCTGCAGGTAACGGGGCTGGGTGCTTAGGGGAGACCAAGGGAACAGGGAGGATGTCAGGGAGAGCCCAGAGCGGGGACTGTGGGTCTCAGGTGGGAGTGAATGGGAGGAAATGTAAGGGGCAGCTTGGGGACTGAATGGCCAAGTGCAGATTTCAGCCTCCATTCCCTTCACTGGATTGGGCTTGAAGTATGGCGGCCAAACCTCACTCACAAACTGAGGATGTAGACTCAGCCCTATTCCAGTCCCCACCCCGGCCGCAGGCTTGACCCTAATACTAACCCAGTTCCCCCTTAAGTCCCAACCACAGCTCTGACCTCAGAGTCAACTTGAACGTTCACTCCAGCCCCAACCCAAAGTTGACCCTGGACTTCGTTTCCAGCTTTGGCGCCAGGCTGAGCCCAACCCCATCCACGGCTCCGATAGGAGTCCCAACCCCACCCGAGCAGGAGATGCCCCTCGGGGCCAGGACACAGTCCTCCCACTTTACCTCCACCTTCAATTCCCAGCTCGACCTGCCCCCCACCCAACACCGGTCCTGACCCCACTTCCAACCCCACCTGTACACTCCTCCCCAAGCCTCTCTCCACCCTGGGCTCATCCTCAACACGAGCCTCGTCTCTCCCTTTGACTCCGGTCCCGACCTCGGCTCCAAGGAGTCCCAGCCTCCCCCTTGGGCCCAGCTCCGGCCTCCGCCTGGCAGCTGGCCCTGCCCGCCTTTCAGCTCCGACGGCCCCAGTCTCGGTGCAAGCATGTCAATGCAGTATGAAAAATTCCAGCACTTGGAGAGTGAGAAGCAAAGCCAGCGGTCTAGAAATGGTAAGTGGAAGGGAAAACGTTCCCTCCCTAGATCCCCTCCTCATTGCGTAGAGCATTCCTGCTGTGCTGTCATCCGCACCCCTACTGTGTGTAGTGGGGGGTTCCCCATTCTGAGGGGGTCTGGCCCCAGGCCCTGGGGACCCCAGTGTGAAGAGGATTCAAGGTCCTGAGAGAGACAGGGACGAGGACAGGGAGCGCCACAAGGGGCCTGGGTTCCTATTCTCTGGGGGAGGAGCGTCTGGGTTTGGAAGGAAACTCACCCGTGACCCTGACCGTGCAGGTGAGTGGGAGCCTTGGAGGGCTTGGCTGCCCCAGCTCGGTCTGGGTCCTTCTGCCCCCTCCCCGACTGTGATGGGACCTTGCGCATCACCATCATCCCCCCTCCGTGGGTCCCTGTGTACTTGTTTCCCCGCAGGTGTGAGTGGCCATGTGACCGAGGACTTGTGCTGGTCCAGGAGGGGCCAGAGGCCTGGGCGTCCCCTGCCCCCCAGCGTCCTGGGGCAGCCTCCCACCAGCATCACCTGCGCCAGCCCTCCTCCCCGACAGGTCCCAGGGGCTCTCCTCCCCCAGTCTCCTGCCCTGACCCCGTCTTCTCTCACAGGGCTGCCTCCTCCTCTGTCCTTCCTGCACTGGCTGTGCTCCGGCCCCCGGCCTCTCCTGTTCTCCTTGGGCCTCAGCCTCCTCCTGCTGGTCGGCATCTGTGTGATCGGCTCCCAGAGTGAGGGTCGCAGCATGGGCAGGGAGGAGAGAACGCATGGGGCGCTGGGCGGGTGGGTCGCCGCGAGGGGCAGTGGTCTGTAGGGTGGCTGCCAGCTCGGTCACTTATCAGCTGGATAACGTAGCCAAATGGCCTAACCTCTCGGAACTTCGTTTCCTCATCCCGGATACTGGGTAACAATAGTGCCTGTCCCTTTGGGTTGGGCCATGTGCGGACCCAGAGAGACAAGGCAGGTCAGGTGCCCTGCTCAGCACCAGCTCACAGAGGGCGTGATACATCCCAGCACTGCTTGTCCCATCCCCATCAGATTCCAAGTGTCGGAGGGACCTGGCGACCCTGAGAGCAACTTTCAGCAACTTCACTGCAAACACTGGGGCGGAGGTCCAGGCACTGAAATCCCAGGGTGAGCCCGGCGCGGAAGGGGTTCCGGACAGGGGCGCCGCGGGGGAGGGGGGCGCTGAGTCTCGAGCACCCACCAAGTCCCCGTGTCCTCCAGGTGGCCATTTGCAAGAAGTGATAACATCTCTGAAAGCCGAGGTGGGAAATCACAAGCAGGGGGGGTTGCAGGCAGGTGAGAGACCCTTCAGGAGCAGGTGTGGAAGGAGCCGAGGGCTTTCGGGGCAGAGGTGGGGGTGGGAGCAGCGCGGGGTGCTGAGCGCCCTCCCCCGCAGCCCGTAGCTTGAACGACAAGGTGTTTTCCCTGGAGAGCAAGCTGGAGCAGGAGCAGAAGGAGCTCAAAGCAGGTCAGTCCCCCCTGCTCCCCCTCCCGCTCCCCCGTTCGCTCCCCCCCCTGCTCCCCCGCCTCCCCTGCACCGGAATGGGGCGTGCGTGGGAGGGCACCGAGCTTCCGGGGGCCGGCCCCCCGCAGGGACGTCGGGCTACCGGGGACTCGCTGCACTGCCCACCTGCGTGTGTCCCAGGTCATTCCGATACCCTCCTTCGGGTCCAGCAGTTGGCCAGAGGCCTGAGATTCCCTGACGTGCCAGGTGGCCGCTCTCAAGAACAACGGTGAGGGGTGTGCGGTGCTGGGCCCCATTTCCTGCTCGTCCCAGCGCGCGGCGTCTCACACCCTCTCCACCCCTGGCCCCGCAGGCTCTCAAAATACCTGCTGCCCCCCTAACTGGCTGGAGTACGGGGGCAGCTGCTACTGGTTCTCCGGCTCCGGGAAGACCTGGGAGGACGCGGACAGGTACTGCCCGCTGGAGAGCGCGCACCTGGTGGTGGTGGGCTCCTGGGAGGAGCAGGTGAGCGCCACTGGTGCGCGGGTCCCACGACGCGTCGTATTTAAGGACGGGGTTCTCAGCCTTGGCTGCAGGTTGGAATCACCTGGGGAGCTTGACAGCGCCCCGCGGCTGAGCCACCCTCAGAGACTGGATGGGCGGGGGCGCTGAGATAAACATCCCAGACCTCAGCAGATGGCATGAACGCGTCAAGTGCGAGGAGCTGGCCGGGCTCGGGAGACGTCACCCCTGCCCTTCTGTCGTCCCAGACTTTTGTGCAGGGCCAGATCGGCTCATACACCTGGATGGGCCTCAGTGACCCTGAAGGAGTCTGGAAATGGGTGGACGGGCTGGACTACGAGACCAACTTCAAGTGAGTGCGCCCTGGCTTTCTGTGCCCTTCTGCGGCCTTGCACTCTTGCTCCTCCAGGCTCTGGCCCTCAGCCCCTGGTTCCCGGACCCCCGGGGTGCCCTCTGAGCGTCCCAGCTGGCTGCGGTCCTCTCCCTGCAGGAACTGGAAGCCAGGCCAGCCGGACGACTGGCACGGGCACGGGCTGGGCGGGGGCGAGGACTGCGCGCACTTCCACCCCGACGGCAAGTGGAACGACGATGCCTGCCAGAGGGCCTACCGCTGGGTGTGCGAGGCCGGCCTGGGCACCGCCAGCTAGCGCGGCGGCAGGTGCTTCCCGCCGCAGAACCGCTCAGCCGGCGGGGAGCGGGAGGGGACCTTCCCGTGAGACCCCTCACGAGACCCTGGGGAGAGGAATGAGCCCACGGACGTCGGGGCGCTGCCACCATTTTGAATGTTTTTCTCCCTGGCGTTCAAAAGACTCTCTAGAGTTCAAGGGTTTGCTTTTTGAACCTCAGCTGCGTGGAGGTATAAGACATTAGAGCTGTACGTCATTGTGATTTGATAAACATACACCCTGGGAAGGGGTCCCCCATCCAGTCCTCGCCCCCGGGGACTTCACATATTCATCTCGTGTATGTGAGAACACGTAAGTTCTGCTCTCTTGGTAAATTCCAGTTATACAATATGTAAGCAACTGTGGTCACCCTGAGATCCTCAGACCTTATTCAACTAAGAGGTGCAAGTTGGTGAACCGCTCCCGATTTCCGCACTCCCCGGCTCCACCATCGTACTCTCTCTTTCTCTGAATTTGACCTTTTTTTTTTCCCCCCGATCCACATTCTGTTTAGAATGGGGCGGTATCTCTGTCTCTCTGGCTTATCCACTTGGCATAATGCCCTCAAGGTCCATCCCTGTTGTTGCAAATGGTAGGATTTCCTTCTTTCTCATGGCTGGACACTGTTGCATTGTATACCCACACCACATCTTTATCCATGCACCCACTGAGGGACATTTCAGTTGTTTCCATATCTTGGTTATTGTGAATTAATGCTACAATGGATATGGAAGGGCAGATGTCTCTTTGATACTCTGTTTCCATTCCCTTTGCCTACATGCCCAGAAATGGCATGGCCGGATCACATGGTAGTTCTATGTTTAATTTTTTGAGGAAACTTCTTACTATTTTCCAGAGTGGCTGTATCAGTTTGCTTCTCCCCAACAGTGCAGGAGGGTTCCCTTTCTCCGTAACTTTGCCAATGTAAGTTTTTTTTTTTAATCATTTTTTTTTTAAGATTTTATTTATTTGACAGAGAGAGACACAGCGAGAGAGGGAACGCAAGCAGGGGGAGTGGGAGAGGGAGAAGCAGGCTCCCCGCCGAGCAGAGAGCCCCCCGATGCAGGGCTCGATCCCAAGACCCTGGGATCATGACCTGAGCCGAAGGCAGATGCTTAACAACTGAGCCACCCAGGCGCTCTCATTTTTTTAAATCTTAAAAATCAACTTTATTGCGATCTAATTCCTACACAATAAAATATACCCATTTAAAGAGTAGAGATGACTTTAGACAAATGTAAATACCTAGGTAACTACCACCCAATCTAGATACAGAGCATTTCCATCAGCCCAAAGTTTCCTTACCCCGCCCCCCTTTGCTGTCTACCCTGCTTCCTGTGCCTAGGCAGCCAATGAATGACCTGCTTTCTTTCGCTATTCACTGGTTTTGCTTATTCTAGAATTTCACAGGATATACTCTTTTGCGAAACCTTATGTATTTCACATTGCCTGATTTTCAGCAATCTTAACATAGCAGAATGGAGAAAGCTAAGTGAGGCCTTGGGCAGTCCTATGTTACTGTGAAAAGAGCATTTCCTTTTTACATACATTTGAGTTCAATTCTTTTCCATCGCTTAAAAGCTGTGTAAACTTAGGCTGATAAGAAAAGGCAGAGCCCAGAGCTGTCGGGAAAAGCCGGTAAGATGCTCAGGTGTATTGGTTAGCGATCACTGCGTAAAAAACCACCCCAACTAGCAGGGGCTTGAGGCAAAAACCACCATGGAACTGATACAAAACTAGAGGTAGAAGTTATATTTGAAAGAAGTCTTACTTCTGGAAAACCTATCTGCATAGCTTTTCCTCAAGAAAAATAAAATAAGAGCTGGATGACACAAAAGAACATGGCAAAGAGTAAAAGATATTGCAGGGTTTGTTTGTTTTTTTTTTTTTCTTTAACCCTTCTAGGGGCGTCTGCCCGGCTCAGTCGGTAGAGCATTCTTTGATCTGTTTGCCTTTGGTGTAGAGTTCTAGAAAAGTTATCACATGCAACTCTTGATCTCGGGGTTGTGAGTTCGAGCCCTATGTTGGGTGTAGAGATTACTTAAAAAATAAAATCTTTAAAAAAAATAACACTTCTAAAGAAAGGAAGAAACCACAGAGAAAACTGAAGCTATAAAAGTAAACTTAAAATATCATAAACATAAAGCGCGGCTGAGGTAGGGAGTATGGACGTCAGAGAAGAACAGAGTGCAAAGGGAAAAGCAGGGAATGAATGTAAATAACAGGAAGGTGGAAGGAAGCTTTGGATGACGGAATGGAGGGACAACATTGGGGCGATGGTCTTCAAGACGAGGAAAAGAAGAACAAATGTAGGAAAAAACCAATCCCATGACACAAACCTATTAACGTGAAAATGGGAATCTATTTTACCTACAATAGTTTCAAAGACTGAAATATAGGCCTTGAACGTATTTGAAGAAGACCTTGTCACTGAGTGAAGGACAGAAAGCAAGACCTAAGCACATGGACAATCATGCTGCCATTGGGTGGGAAGACTCAGTTTCATCAAAATGTCAGTTCTCCCGATAATTTTAATGCCATTCCAATTCGAACCCTGGTAGGGTTCTCTCTTTTTTTTTAATCAAAGTTTTTATTTTGAAATAATTTTAGACTCACATAGAAGTCGCAAAAATAGGACGCCTGGGTGGCTCAGTTGGTTGAGCGTCTGCCTTCGGTCATGATCCCGGGGTCCTGGGATCGAGCCCCGCATCGGGCTCCCTGCTCAGCGGGGAGTCTGCTTCTCCCTCTCCTTCTGCCTGTTGCT